GAGAGAGAGAGAGAGAAGAAAAACAGCCTTTCATTGATCTGAGAAAAGCAGCAGTACAGCATCAGCAAACTGACTTCAACACTGTACTGAGCACACACACACACACACACCGAGTTGAGATGACTGGAGGCAGGTAGCAGCAGGAGAGCCAGATGTTGCTGCTGGATGGGTGTCAGACTGTTAAGACGTTTTTCTGCTGAATGAAAAGTTCACCTTCATTCAGCTGACATTAAAAGACCTTTGTATTCCTATCAGTTAACTCCACAGCTTAATCATTCCCTCCTCTTTGTCATCTAACTCAGGTGTTGATGAGCCAAATGGCTGACTTAATGACTCTTTTTATGAACCAACCATGTCTCATACAAAATCTCATTATTAATAATAATCTCTGTTATTATATTTGGTTTATATTGGCACTCTTTCCTACTGTACTACAACCACCGTGCAACAATTTTACTTGGGAATATTTAAAGCAATATTTTATCTTACTGCTCTAAATGATAGCTAGGAGGTCAGGGTGGATGCACATAGCACAGCACCATGTCCAATGTCATGTTGGGTTTGGGCTAAAAATACGGTTAAGACATTGTTTAAAGGTCATATATTTGAGATTCAGAACATTAATGGATGGTCCTGCAGAGAATAATGTCACACTCCCATTGCCCGCTTGCTATTGCAGCCTCTTCGTGGTTCATTTACAAAGTCAGTCTGCTCCTCGTGCAGCCGAGTAGAACCACTCATCTACATTGGTTGAGATTTTATTTTGATGAAAGCAGAGTTTGGGATTGTTAGTTAGTAAGTTACAGTGTAAAGACTAGCAAAGACTGTTTTGGTGAGTTTTATTTTGCTTCTGAGTGAAGTTATGATGTTATTAAGATGTTATAACATCATAACGTCTTTCAGAAGCATCATGTTAAGATGGTATCAGACGCACTTTAACAGATGCATTAATCCCCAAAGATTGTTAACTTGCGTTGCAGCCATTGCAGCCCTTTTTACAAATATTTTCACACCTAACTCTGTTAATTAAGGTATTTTGAACCAAGCCAGCATTTGTGATTGTTGAAAAGACTGTTGAAAGACTAACAAAGGCAGTTGTGTGGACTTTTATTTTATTTGTTTTGGTCTGAGATGCTGGTGCTCTAGTGCGACGTCCAGTGGCAAGTGAAGTGGAGGGTTGCTAAAAACACAGCAAAGAAATGCTACAAATAAATGAGCAGGGCAGCTTCATGGTAATAGGATTTTTAAATGAATACCTTAATTTGTTACGTACCAAAGTCAGTGAGTTAACCAAAAAGAGATATAGCTGTCTATAGCTGTGTGATTGTCTTGAAAGGTTACAATATAACTATATATAATGATATCATGATATAAAGTTATATATGTCATGATAGAGGATTGTATTGCAGTGAAAGCTGAGGAGAAATGTTTATAATTATTTGGTTATGATGTCTCAGTTGGAAGACCTTCAACAGATTGTAGAACGAATAGCTGACAGTGTACGTGCTTCAAATTTTAACTAGCATAAATCATTAAAACTTTTCTTCTTTGGATGCTCTGTTTGGTGACATGTGGTGAGATTCTTTCTCTAAATGTGTCTCAGTGCAGCACTGGTATCACACCAGTATCACACCAATAATTTGAATCACTGCATGTTTTTCTTTACTTTTATCAGCTTTCTCTGGCAGGGTGATGATGGAAACATACTGTCAGAGTTGCAGAAGCCAAAAAAGGGCCAATTACAGATCTCCATATATTCAAACCTTTGGATTCCATCCTAGAAATAAGTTACAAATAACTGTAATTCTGATGTAATCTTCCTACATCTGAAAAGTGAGACTTGTTTTATTTTGAGAAAACTCAAAGGAGAGAAGAAAAAAATGGTTAAAAAACACTGAAAAATAACTGTTGAAACCACTAAATACTGTGTTTTCTCCTGCAATGATTGATCAGTGTGGGCAGTTTCATGTCTATAGGCTACCAACAACTCACCAAAGTTCTCCCCGCCCCAGATGTCCATGGCAGTGTCGTATTTGCCAAGGTGATTGAACCAGGACCTATCAATCACAAAGAGGCCGCCTGCAATGATGGGAGTCCTGTCAAAGAAAGACAAACAACCAGAGAAAGAGAGAGTCAGAGAGGGAGAGAGGCGTCAAGAAGAGACAGAGTGTGTGTGGTTTGTGGTTGGATAAAACAGTAACAATGTCTTTGTAGTGTCAGTGGTAGTGTCCCTATCCTTTTCACTGACATCTAAAAACTGACTCAAAACTGAGTCCAAAGAGGCAAGACCCAAGAGTCCAAATGAGAGAGACTGAGTAAATACTGAGATAGAAAAAAAGAAGATTTTGCCATTGCCAGTGAGATGAGTTTTGGCAGCCAGGCATACGATTGCAAGTGACATTGGTTGGCTGCCGGGTAACCATGGTATCCAGGCAGCCAATGTCAATGCCCTTTCTAGATTGATGCCTGTTTTCTCAACATGCACGCTTCATCAGTGGTTTTGATTTGAAGGAGGAAGTCACTTCAGATATAAAACAAACATCATATATTGCTTAACTCGGTTGAGACCAACCATTTGGCAAGACTGTGTGAGTCTGTGTGCAAGTACCAATGAGACTAGATTGAGTACAACAGCACTGGCTGTAGCAAATGTGAACTAGCTGTGATTATCATTGCACATCAATAATCAACCAGTTCTTACCCTACATTGTAGCAGAATGATTGGTAGATGATTCCTGCTCATAGACTTTCACAATATGTGATTTCAGCCATGATTTTACAGCTTAGGCACTGCACCTAAGCCGTAAAATGATAGGGGAAAGCCTTGAAATCATAGTCTGGACAATGTGACGAGTGAATAACTGACGGCCAACACGTGTCATCAAATACCCTCTATTCATCAACAATTATCCTGCCGTCAACACCGCAAATTGCCCTCTGTGTGTGTGACTGTGTGTCTGTATGTGGGTGGAAGCACATAAAATGTTTTTCAAGCTCAGTTTGTCCTGTGTGTTTAAAGGTATGTAAGTATGCGTGTACTGAAACTGAGGAAATTAACATAAAATAATATGCCAAATAAATATGAGATGTGTGTGTGCTCTTGTACTTCTATCTCGGTGAGGACCGATCTCTGAAGGCTGTTTTACCTGAACGAGTTTCATGGCTTATTGGACACCAAAACACTTCATAGGCAGCGGTTATCATACCATGAGACAGGATTTTACAACTTTATTTAATGATGGTAACAGTCAGTCTTGAGTCATGAAAACTGTTGCTGCTAATGTTACAAAGCAGTCTACCACAAATGTGTGCTTGTACGTATGTGACTGGCCAGCATGGTGTCTGGTGACATTGCATTGGCAACCCCAGTGTACCAATATAGCAGTTTTATTGAAACACATGAGGGGCAAATTGCAAATGTCTGTCTTTTACTCAATTTATTTAACAGCAACAGTTCCAGTATGTATTATAGCTGCAATGGTTAAAGTGAAGGTTGGAGGTTAGGGAATGCATTATGTCCACAAAGGTCCTCACAAGTATACTTTATATATGTGTATACGTGTGTGTTTCCAGATGGACACAGTGACTCAGTTAAGCCCCCGCAGGTTGACATTACACAGATGGCAGCAGCACACTGACATCCAGGTAGAGACAGACCATCATAATAAACAAGGTGCACTCTCTCTCTAAATGTATCTCAGTAACACACAAACACACGCACACACAGGTACATCACCACCCGTCCATCTGTAAGTGTTAAACACTCTACCTCCACTAAAAACCACATGCACTAAGTCACACAGTCTCAAGTTGGCACAGCAGTAAATCTGGGTTCCTGCCACCAATCTGACTTATGAAGAAGGAACAGTGCCAAAGTTTATTATTTATAACTCAGTGCGTGTGTGTGTGTGTGTTTAAGGCTTTGGCTCGTCTGCCTTCTTTTGTTTGTTTGTTCATCTCTGCAAAGCAAACAATTTGTCAGGCATTGATGATTTGATTTTATGTAAACTTTCAGCAAATAAAGTCTTTCAGCACAGCCCAGCACGGGGCGCTGCAGCAAGATCAGGTCAAACCGGAGGGGGGGCACATTTGTTACTGATTGTCAGCACTGCAATTAACCACCACAGCCACAGTACATGCGACATTGTATTTATCGTCTCTCCAGGTTTATTTCTATTTTTATGCTTTGTTATTATAAGCCATGATTGTGTGTCTTCTTCCTGCTATATTCATATCAAATTATATGCTAGAGCCATTTGGAAAATTAGTTTTTATACATCACGTTCACATATCACAAGTACATTAATTAATTGTACATAGATGTTTTATCATGTTATCACTGATGATGGGGTTTAAAATGTGACCCATACATGTGCAGAACCAGGTAAACTTTATATACAGTATAGACCTATCTAGTCAGATGTTATGTTGAAACCTTAATACTATACTAAAAATCATTCATCTGGGAGCATTTTAGCAATTTAGATTGATACATTTATAATGATCTGATTTGTGTTTGCTGTTTATTTGCTCTATAACACTTCACTGCCTTTTGGCAACATGACTCTATGGGGACCCTGAAATCCTTAACAGTAACAGATACTAGTCCATGCACACAAAACAAAAAAATCATCTCTTTACAACTTTGGGTAAGAAGCCAAAAAGTAAAAACATGAAAATTGCTCAAAAACAAGGATGAAAATTGGTCCAGAAGCTTATGCACACCAAAACAACTTAAAGCAAGGCAAGGAATTCAAAGACATTTACATGTTTTCTTTTTTACACAAGTACTGTACTTGCTCGTAATAAAATTGGATGTTTCTGTTTAAATATAATCCGCATCTTGGAATAAACTCAGTAGAAGAAATACAGAAGACAGTATAGCAGACATCCTCCACACATTCCTATCCCATTTGGACAAGAAAGGGAGCTATGTGAGATTGCTGTTCATTGACTACAATTCGGCATTTAACACCATAGACCCCTCCAGGGGACGAGCTTGAGGTTTTATATGAAAGCAATAGCAGCTGATTGTACAGTGTCAGCTCTTCTTTTGGTCCGGCTTTCCTGGGTATTCTCCTGCTCTCCTCCTCCACCTCTTTTTCCTACCTTCTCATTCCTTTGTCCTCTCCTCTCTGTTTTTCTACTTTTACACTTTCTTAAGTCCCTGTGGTCTGGTGTGTATATGTGTATTGACATTATACTGTAAGCTTGTGTGTGTGTGTGTGTGTGTGTGTGTGTGTGTGTGGTGTGTTTGTGTGTGTGGGGGGGGTTACTTGATTGGCTGGGTCGGGTCGGTCCGGCGAGCTCTCTGTTCAGGTGACAGCTGCTCCCACTTAAAATGGAGACTCCAATCAAAACCTGAAAGAGAAAAAGTATATACAAATACATTACACTGAATATAAAGAGATACTGTACTGTACCAAAGCTTTACGGCATTAAGATAAACGCTGTATGAGGAAGGAAACAGTAGTGAAATACCACGATGGACTCGAATTACAGTAGACTTAGACGTGTGCAGACTGATTTTGTATTCTTCTTTCATATTATGACAAATAATGAAAGCACACACTGAGCTTTTGCTGATAAAATGATGAAAAATGCTCCAAATATGTATAGAAACACTATATTCAAATATGTTTCAGTATGTGTGAATACAAGCAAGTAAACATGTGTGAGTGTGCACGTGTGTTGGCTTATGAAGGTGTGTGTTTGCTGATAAGGCAGTCCAGCAGGCCAAGGAGCTGCTGCCACAGCACTCTTATACCCCCATTTGTGAGTGTGTATGTGTGTG